ATAGCCACATCTGTCATTTGTTATAGTATAATCGGCATTGTTATTGTCCAAAAACCGAAGTAAACATGAATAAATGTATATATTTTTAATAAAAAAATATAAATTGTTAATAGTAATAGTGTACATAATTCATATTACACTATTTTTATTAACATTTATATTGCCAAGTTTCTTTTTACAATGCATATTAATAACTCAAAAAATTCACAATACATCTGTCTGTTGTTGTAGTATAGTCATTTATTTATTGTCAAAAAGCAAAATGATTAAATAATCAGTTCTATTTATTGCACAAAAATACATTTAAATATACTTTTATTTATATTTTTAAATGTAAAACAATAATTTGTTATTGATATATAATTACATTTTATTATTATTTATGATCACATTTATTATTACTAATATTTACATTATTATTATTATTATTATTATTTAAGTTTCTGTTTACAATGCAGATTATTTTTTGTGCAGTTACAGATATGTAGGATTGATTGTTGTAATTGTTTATTTCTTATTGGCACTAACTAAATAAAGATTATACTATATTAATAGACATGAATATTTAAATTTGTATTATTATTTATTAATGTTTATGTAAATTTGTTTTGAAATCTGGGGGAAAATACCGTCTGGTAAAAGGGAATAGTGTTAGTAATGCTTGCCTTAAATTTTGAAGTTGGACAAAATCAAGAATTTGACTTTGAATTCTAATTTAACATTACATTTCATTTTTAATACGACAATGTGTTGAATATTACATCCTATCTTATTAATAGTTCATTCGGCCTTGTGGTGTTCTGAAATTAGTTATTTTGTGATTCAGAAGTAAAAGATTCATGTAGCTGGAAGCAGCAAATGTGAGAAGAGTTTGTTTCAGTGTAATTCTTGTGGCTTTGTTGACATTTGTAGGCACTTTCAGTCTGTTTTTGGAGGAATAATGGTGTTTGAGGTCCTCCTGTCCTGATGGAGCTGTTCTTAAGCTGGACAGTCACATGCTGCTAACTGTGTTTGGCAGCAGTCGCTCACTTCAGTGAGTCCCCCCTCCGCATGCCTGAGCGCTGTCAGGTACACCCGTCCCGTCGGCTCCTCTGAAGCTGCTCTTTGATGTCCCAGGTTTGCTGACCCAAGCTGGTTTTTAGGTGTTTGTCAGAGCGTGAGATAAATAACCACATGTCACGCTTCTTAAAACACCCACGTTCACATTCCAGCGAGCAGATCATGTGATGTGATAACAGGATTATGAATGATCCTCAGGGAGCTAATCGTGGAGTTCGAGTTCTTGTTCCGTTTTCAGGCATATTTGATGTTCCAGAAAGTCATTAGACGTTCGCTTGATCTTGATCTTTGAATAAAGCCTTTCTCTGGACTTCCTTAATGTTGGTCACAGACAGAAGTGTTTTATTTCCATTTATTATTAAGAATCAAAGTGATTTGCTGAATTGCTAAAATGAATGGGATTTTGGAATTCTGCCTCTTACAGTTTATGCTGGTCTGGACTTGACTGGATACATTTCGAAGGGTTTATTTGAACTTGTTTAAATGCGATGTGCTAGCTATATTATATAATATATTGTTTACGTTTCTCAACAATTAAAAAAAAAAGTATTTAATTATTCTACATTTTAAAAATGAATTCAAATATATTATATATATTTTTTAAATGATTTTTAAAAAAAAACATTGTTTAATAAACTATTTAATAACAATGATTATTAAAGAATAAAGATCAACTGAGATTAATTTTTATGATTAATAGATCGTTTTTGTATGAAAACTGTTAGATTGAATTTTTTTTACTTCTGTTTTATTTTTAATAACTATGCGTTATTATTCATGCATGATATATCATATTATGCATGAATAATATTCTAATATAATAAATCTAATATGAAAATATTATCTAATATAATGCCATGTTTGTGTTTAAAAACAGATGTTAAGGTTTTATTTTTTTTATTTTAATTTTTTTTCTATTTTATTTGGATTCATTTGTGTGAAATATTAATGTAATATATTAATATATTATAATAATAATAATAATGAACTGTTATTATTATTATTAGTGTTATTGATATATATTTGTATTTATGCCATGTTTATTTCCAAAAACTGATATGGATAACAGAAGTTAATTTTTCTTTACTTCTATATTTTATTTTACTTTTTTTTTTTTTTTTTTTTTGTGACAAACACAATTTTTATTTTGGCTGGTTGTTATGTGCTTGCTAGGGTGTTCTGGCTGGTTGTTATGTGCTTGCTAGGGTGTTCTGGCTGGTTGTTATGTGCTTGCTAGGGTGTTCTGGCTGGTTGTTATGTGCTTGCTAGGGTGTTCTGGCTGGTTGTTATGTGGTTGCTAGGGGTTATGTGGTTGCTAGGGTGTTCTGGCTGGTTGTTATGTGGTTGCTAGGGGTTATGTGGTTGCTAGGGTGTTCTGGCTGGTTGTTATGTGGTTGCTAGGGGTTATGTGGTTGCTAGGGTGTTCTGGCTGGTTGTTATGTGGTTGCTAGGGGTTATGTGGTTGCTAGGGTGTTCTGGCTGGTTGTTATGTGGTTGCTAGGGGTTATGTGGTTGCTAGGGTGTTCTGGCTGGTTGTTATGTGGTTGCTAGGGTGTGTTGTCTGTTGTTGTTGTTGTTGTTGTTTGCTAGTTATTGTCCACCAGGCAAAAATTGTAAGTGTGGTAAGTTAGGGGGGGATCTGTAGTAAAAGTGAGAAGTAATTGTAATGAAATATAAAATTATACAAATTCATCACTTTTTATAAATACATTTTGGTTCTGATTTAACAATAAATGTATTTTTTTTTGTTATTAAAAATACAGTATATAATATACTATAATAAATCATAATACATTACAGTCCATGAGAAATGTTTATTATTAAGTTTCTATTTACAATGCATAAAAATAAATTAAAATAGCCACATCTGTCATTTGTTATAGTATAATCGGCATTGTTATTGTCCAAAAACCGAAGTAAACATGAATAAATGTATATATTTTTAATAAAAAATATAAATTGTTAATAGTAATAGTGTACATAATTCATATTACACTATTTTTATTAACATTTATATTGCCAAGTTTCTTTTTACAATGCATATTAATAACTCAAAAAATTCACAATACATCTGTCTGTTGTTGTAGTATAGTCATTTATTTATTGTCAAAAAGCAAAATGATTAAATAATCAGTTCTATTTATTGCACAAAAATACATTTAAATATACTTTTATTTATATTTTTAAATGTAAAACAATAATTTGTTATTGATATATAATTACATTTTATTATTATTTATGATCACATTTATTATTACTAATATTTACATTATTATTATTATTATTATTATTTAAGTTTCTGTTTACAATGCAGATTATTTTTTGTGCAGTTACAGATATGTAGGATTGATTGTTGTAATTGTTTATTTCTTATTGGCACTAACTAAATAAAGATTATACTATATTAATAGACATGAATATTTAAATTTGTATTATTATTTATTAATGTTTATGTAAATTTGTTTTGAAATCTGGGGGAAAATACCGTCTGGTAAAAGGGAATAGTGTTAGTAATGCTTGCCTTAAATTTTGAAGTTGGACAAAATCAAGAATTTGACTTTGAATTCTAATTTAACATTACATTTCATTTTTAATACGGCAATGTGTTGAATATTACATCCTATCTTATTAATAGTTCATTCGGCCTTGTGGTGTTCTGAAATTAGTTATTTCTTATTGGCACTAACTAAATAAAGATTATACTATATTAATAGACATGAATATTTAAATTTGTATTATTATTTATTAATGTTTATGTAAATTTGTTTTGAAATCTGGGGGAAAATACCGTCTGGTAAAAGGGAATTTGAGAATAACTAAATTATAGTTATGCTTCAACAAAAAAGACTTATGGAGTATTTAATTATTAAGAAAGTCTTATGAAGTATTTCATTAATTATGAATATTTTAATATAACTTACAATTTAAAATGTTGTAGTAGTAGTAATAATAATTATTATTATTCATGCCATTGTTTATGCAGAGTGGTTTCGTTATCTACATAATACAGTGAACAAATTTTAAGCTGTCTAATTGTTAAGCTACACATTTCTTACATCAGTATGAATAGTTGTTGAGTAATTATCCAAACAACATATTATAGCTATATGCTAGCAGTTAGTATAAAATAGAGAGACATTTTCATTTTTGACAGCATTTTGTTGGACAAAGTTATATATGGCGTTTTGAACTAGTTGAGAAAGAATTAAAGTGCACTTAAATGTATACGTCTGCTGGAAATTCAGCATTCACACTAGCATTATATAAATGTCCTCAAAACCAATAGACATGGACTAAAAGCTACAAATTTAGATTTTATGTTACATATTTGTCAGTTTTCGTGTTTCTATGGAATGAAGTGTCTTAAAGTTCCGTTGTATAAGATGAAGTTTGTCAGATGTCAGTGTTTTCTGCTCTGGAGGTCCTGTGAAGTAGCAGGCATTGATCAGACCCTCAGTTTGTTGTGTTTCTATTTAGATTTGTGGCTAAATGGACGGAATCCGTCCCTTTGTGGGGTGAAACGTGGAAAATGGCCCGCAGGGATGTGGCAGAGGTCTTTTGAATGGATGATAATGAGTGCTTCTGAAAGCTCTCTACCCCCAATAAACCTGCACAGATATTTTAGAAAGTTTGTTTGCTGGCGTTATCAGGTCTTGTAGCAGAAACCAACGTTATGGAGAAAAAAAAACACTTTATTGTATATCTGATTATACTTTTAAATACAAATGCCTGCCAGATTTATTAGTGCGTTTCGAATATTACTTCTTTGATGTTCTTTTAAAATGAAAGAAGTCCCCGCAGCATTATGACATTCGCCCCTGTTCTTCAAGTCCTCCCCTTCACATGTAAACTCAGTTTATGGGACAGTCTGATAAACTGGTTTTGATAAGAGCACTAACCTGTCCCTCTCTCCACCGCTGGGATCTGTGTTTGGACATCAGACTGCGCCGTCAACGTCCACAAGAGCTGCAAGAACCTGCTGCCCGAGTGCAGCAGCAAAAACAAGGTAAGATTCGTTCACATTTCGACTTTTAGCCGAACAAACTTCACACCGAGTTTGGTTGAATCAAATGAATCAAGTTCCTACAGACAGTAAACGAGTTTCTTTGGTCAGAGGAGTGGCAGGGTGTGGTTTGCTGTAAATGATGAACTAAGCCGCTCACTGTGTTAGTAAAACCGTGTTTGTTTGTTTTTTCACTCGGTGCAGAAGACGTCAAACGCCGCAACTCAGTCGCATAGTCAAGGTAAGCGGTTTTTAGCGTTCATATCATATATCGTGTCATATCCTTGAAACGATGGCATGTTGAAGACTTGAAACAATTTTGTAGGTTTGTAAATTTAATGATACTGAAAGTAGTTAAACTACAGTCAAGACCCTTTTGAAAAACACAAGGTTATGGGGGTTAATATTGAATTTATTTAATGGGGCACTGTGGTTTTAAATCATGTTATGTTTTTCTTTTTTCAATCAAATCATTTTTTTCAACAAAAATGATGAGAATCTCTGTTAAAGTACTGTAACAGCATTAAACAGCATTTGAACCAAGTAATTTACTCTAAATATTATCAATAAATCCAGAAAACCCAGTAATGAATGTTAGAATTTGATCAAATATTAGATATTTTGTAAAATTATTTGTATTTTTTATTATTTATAACTATAAAATCATAATTTCATTGTAAATTGTCACACAGGCATCAGGATTGGGGAGTCAAATGAATTAGCTTGAATCAGTTTTTGAATTGCTTGAATCAGTTTTTGAATTGCTTGAATCAGTTTTGAATTGGTAAATCATTTAAAAAAAATTTTTTTTAAATCTGTAGATCATTTGAGTCAGTGAATCATTTTTAAGCGAGTAAATAATTTTTTGATTGAATTGCTTGAATCAGTTTTTGAATTGCTTGAATCAGTTTTGAATTGGTAAATCATTAAAAAAAATTTTTTTTAATCTGTAGATCATTTGAGTCAGTGAATCATTTTTAAGCGAGTAAATCATTTTTTTGATTTGGTTCATTTAAATGAACTCGAACGAATCAATTCATTAAATTGAATTGGATTTCTCAAATGCTTTGTGAGAATGGACGTTTTTGCTGAGTGTGTTTAATTACGTGTGCAACAGTGTTGTTTTAGTTTTATTTATAAACTATTCTAATATTTCTTAAAGTTTTGAATGCGCTTTTTAAAAAATATTTTCATTTTCATATTTTACTTTCATTTTAGTTTGTAATTATGTGCTTGTCATTTTCTTTTGTTGTTTTATATTTCTGTTTAGTTTTTATTTTTCAGTTTTAGTGCTTCAGTTAGTTGCCATAGCATAACATTAATTTTCATTTAAGTTTTTCATCTAACATTTATATTTTGCTTTATTTCAATTAAAAAATCATTTTGAATATTTTTAGCTCTAGTTAACAATAACAACACTGGCATAATGTACAACAAGTGAGATGTGACTGGTTGATAAGCTGGTTAATAAGCACCTGTAAATGATCTCAAAAACAACATTTCCCTCAGTTTTTCCTCTGCTAATCTGCTGTTTAGTCCTGTCTCGTAGCTGCACGAGGAGCTTGTTTGGTTTAATGAACGCTGGGCAGCAGATGCTTATGGGAGTCCCCTGAGAGCAAATTAAGGTCATCTAGCTGTTGTTCTCGTTTTCACCTTCACTCAGAGAAGCACTTAAGAGGTTAATCACGCTTCTCCAATTAATTACCCCACAAATCTGATCAAGATTTACTGCTCATGCTGTGGCTTGGACACAGTTGTACTTGGTGGTAGTAGTAGAAGAGTAGCATTTCAAGTAAGTTGATGGTAGCTTTTTCCTTCCCAGCCATTCTGCTCTTGTCGTTTTGTAAGGTTGTGTCATGAAATAAACCGGATGACCCTCTGTATTGAGATGATGTGTTGTTTGCTAGTGTAGTGCGGTGTGGCGATTTCCTCCTGAGCTCTGGAGGTCTCGTTAAACAGCTCCTGCTGTGACCGCGGCCAAGGTGGTAATTGCTTTAAGAACCGCGGCTGAAGCTTGTAATGCTTCACTTCCCAGCGGAAAACATCTGGAAATGCTTCACCCAGAGCCTTCTGGAAGCACATCATCTTGTAATTGCATAAAGGGGCTACAGCTGAATATTGGTAACTTAGCAGCAATACAAACAATGCAGACATAAATGCGGTAGAGATAGGATAGCTTGAATTTTGAGACCTGTAGTTTTTGTCATGTTCATTAAAAAATTAATTAATTGATTAAATGAATTAATTTTTCATTTAAAATTTTATTAGGGTGGTTTAATAAATTTTAAATTAGGCGAGTTTATAAAAATGTAAATATATTAAAACGATTTAAAAATGCACAAAATACATAATTTATTTTTATGATATATTTTTAATTATGAAGTACTGATTGTTATTATTAAGTTGTTTGTGTTTGTTTAATTTGCTGCATTGGCTAATAAAGTTAAATTCATTTAGATTTTTAAAAATATAAAATAAGTATTCATTAATAATATAAAAATTTAATATTTATAGATATATCTAAAAATATAAACATTATTTAAGAATATGCTATTATATTGCCTTTTTACTATTATTATTATTACTACTACTGTACATGTATGTTTATAATTTTATTAAATACAAATGCAGCATTTAAAAATTTTCATTTTATAAGATTGTTTATCATGTTTAATTTGCTGCATAGCCTAATAAAGCTGAATTTATTCATATTTCTTAACACAAAAAATCATTATTATTTGTTATTCAAATTAACATTAGCTGTCAGGTTCTCTCTGGAGATGATAATGGTTTACATGCTCACATTAATCTGACGGTGAGACGCAGACCCTCGCCTGTTGCATCAAAGCATCCTCCGGCTCAACAGGACAGTGACGGGAGGGAGGCGAGACTCTCCACTTTATAAAGCCCACCGTCTTCCTCTCCATCAGTGTTTTCTGATATCCAGTGTAGAGTCAGGCATCATGGCACTGGCTTTACCCAGAGTCCGTGGTTCTCAGAGGAAGAGCGCTCGTGTCCCTGTCTCCTGGCTCGGGGTTCGAGTCCTGCACCATCGTGACTTACTCACCTACCGCTTCCTCGACTCGATGCCTCGCTCGTTTTTGAGGCACTGCTACCGCACTGACCCATCTGGTTTCTCTGCAGCTCTGAGGGAACCCTGCTCTGCCCTGACTCCCGTCGATGGCTCGTCCAGGACGTCTCGCTCTGCTTCAGGTATGACCGTTCCACCCAAAGGACACAACACCCAACCAGCCGCCTCCAGCAACCCTACAGTCAGCCACAACAACAGCGGGTGAGTCCTGTGTGCCGTCAGTCATACATGCTGTGGTTTACACAAGCTGTACGATAAATATGACTAAATATTTAATTGCTACATGTTGGGATGCACCAGTGTGAAAGACTTTTTTTTTATTTTTTATTATTATGACCAAGATCGAAAGGTTTTAATACTATAAATGTATACATTTCACCTGGTTTAATGATATCTTTTTACGTTTTTAAAGTTTTTCAACATAAAATATCATCCAATTTAAAATAGGTGTGATTTGACTAACAATAATTCTACTTTTTAATTTTTATTATGATTGGTAATATCATAAATCTGTATTTTTTTTTTAATGCATTAAATCCTATAACCTGATGTTGTGCTGACAATGTAAAACAACAACAAAAAACCACATACATTATGAATATACCATATGACCAGTACAACTATTACGAATATACTTGTCGATATATTGTGCATCCATGAGTTTTAACATGGCACTTTAATATTTATTTGGTAACATTAATTGAATAATATTAATATTTATAATGTAATACATTTATTATCATATAAATACACATTATTTATTTAGTATATATTTTATTAAATTATATAATTACATTTGAATAGAATATATTCAATATTAATATTTTTATTTAAATTAAATCCACACCAGTGGTGTTTTAGTTTCATTACTATTATTATTATTTTTTTATTAATTATATTTTCTGTTTTCGCTTTAATTTTAGTTGATGTTTTAATAATTTAGTTTTTGTCATCGATTTTTTTTTTAATTGTAATTTTTTTTTAATGTCTTTTATAGTATTATTTATATATATATATATTATGTCTATATAATTACTGCAGTGTTTGCATGCTCATGTTCTCTGGCAGCTCTATCACAGGAGAGATGGATGAAGTTGACGCATTCAGGATGAAGCGCCCCGCTGACGACACTGTATCTCTCGCCTCCACGATGCCCGAGTCTCTCATCGTTGAAGGTGAGGGGTTGATTTTCAAAGCCAAAACATTGAGAACACCCAGAACCATGGCCGGACTTACCATTGGGCTTGAGTGGGCTGCAGCCCATGGGCCCCGCCTTGTAGGGGGCCCCGCCTTTGCCCGTTTACATTTGTTTGATTTGTTCATTATATGCCAGCCAGAATTCAGAAATTATTAGCCGCATTTCCACCAAGGTTATTTTCGTAAACGAAAACTAAAACTAAGACTAAAACGATTGATGAAAAAACTATTTCGTAAACTGAAATAAAATAAAAATGACAAAATAATTGAAAAACTAAAACGAAACTAACAACAGTTATTGAAAAACTAACTGAAATAAAATAATTATCAAAAATAAATCGTTTTCGTAATCATTACGTTCTCATCCCTTGGCAGAAAAATATATGAGCGGTGTGGCGCCGGCAGTTTAGGGAAATACCTGTAAATGGCGCATTGCACACGTGAGGTTATCTTATGCAGAGACGCAAAGCAGTTTAAAGCAGAGTCCTGCACGGGTCCTGTTTGGTAAACGTGCACCAGCAGTACTTAACCGAACACTCGACCCGTTATCCAACAGCAGCACTAATTTAATTCTGTACCAGACCAGACCCGTTTGACATAAAGGCCGCGAGTCACAACCCGAACCGCACTCGCATTAAATCTATTACATTAGGTAGGCAAAATTATTTATTTTTTCATGTAACGCAAGCAAACCAAAATTAGGCATTCTAAGTTGGTGCTTTGAAGAAAAACAGATGCACAACGCAATAATTTACAGAAAAAAAAAAGACGAGAACACGCATCCTTTCTGAAAACAATACAAAACTTTAGCATAGCATCTTGTGATCACTCTGCCAGGCTTTCGGAGAAATGTGCATAGGCTAAATCACATCATAAACGCGCTTCTAATTCTTAATAAATGAAAAGAACATATTCAAATATGAGCCTTAATGCGATTGCTGTTATTATTGAATTTCATTACTCCCAGTTATGATTTATGTGCAGTTGTTCACGGAAAAGTGAACAAGACACGACAGTTACAATATATTATTGTTAAAAAAGAAAAAAGACATCTAACCATCATAACCAAATTAGCCTACATTTATTGTCATATTAAATATCTCAATACACATCATTAGATATGACATTAAGCACAACTTGTGTAGATTTATTTAGTAAAAAGTAAACTGCTTGACTGCTTCATTTTGGCGTATATTTGTATACTTTTACCATTTAATCAATCTCAGCATGTGTTAATTTTGTGTCGCTAGACATTTGCTTCACCAAGGCTAAATTATGCCGATGTCTTTCTTTGGCTTGCGCTCTGGAAGTGATCTGTTAATTCCGCTAACCTTTAATTAAAACTGAAACTGAAACTGAAACTAAACTATATAAAAACTAAATAAAAATGTGTTCACAAAATAAAAACTAAACTAAAACTAACAACAATATTAATGAAACTAATAAAAACTAAACTGAATTGTATAGCAAATTTGAAAACGATATTAAAATAAAACTAAATTAAAAACTATAAAAATCTTGATTTCCACTGCGCACGCAAGATCTAAACGGGCCAGCCGGGGCTAGAGCTTACAACTACGACCTTCGAGGCCACAATCAAACAGCATAAACTGGTATTTATGATTATTTCACATAGAAGGACGCACGTATTGATCTGTTTCTATAACATAGCTATGTCTATGATATAAGACTTAGCCTATCACACAAACAAGAGTACTTTTTTTGAATATCTGCACGATCGCAAATGTACAATAAACAACAACTTACAGAGTAACTTTCAGACACAAAATTCCGTTTTGCTCCATCAGAAAGAAAATCGAACAAACAGCAGAACCGCTGCGTCTCCGAACAACAGTGTTTTGTTTTTCCGTGTTACATGGACCAGCAAATGATTCAATCAGGCTATAAGTGCAGTCGTTTGCAAAGTTAAATGAATCGGCTTTTTAAATTAATCGGTTGATTCAACTCACTCATCAGGGCTCCAGACTCATTCTTCCCACTGGTCGCTCTTTTGCGACTAACTTTCTCAGTTGGTCGCACATGATTTGGTCGCAATATTTTTATTTTTAGCTACAACATGGGATTAATCAATGCATGCTGATGATCTTTTATCATAGTTTATAGTTATATGAAACGAAAGTGGTTAACATTTTAACCGTTCTTTTTCATCAGTAGTATTATTTGTGATTTGAATTTTGTGAATGGGAATTCCTCTTTTGCTATGTTATAAGCCGGGCTTCAGGTGCTTTAACTTTCAACTTCACTTCGTCACGTTTTACAAGAAAAGCTCGTCTGTTTTGCTTACATACATCTACACACCTTTCACTTTTTGGGACTAAAACAAAAGATTGATTAATTGTTATTCTTAATCGGTCTTTTACTTTACTTTAGCTTGAAAACCATCCATAGTTTCATTTTTGCTGCGCGCACCTTCGCGCTCCTGCTGACGCGGCAAGTATAAACCACACTCTACACTCGAAGCACTGCGCAGTTTCGTTTGCCGTTTGATTCTTCTCATATGCAACAGAAATGGCAGCGCTTATGAGTTAAACAACGCAGTGTTTAAACAAAAGTCGCTTTTTGTGCGACCGCTTTTTGTAGTCGCCCAGGCAGAAAAAATGGTCGCAGTCTGGAGCCCTGCTCATCAAGACAGTAACTTGCTGCCTCCTACTGGCGGTTATAGTTTCATATTTTAAAAAGTAGCTTATTTCATTTTTGCAATCATTTAATATTTCTACAGTAAAATGTTATATTTAAACTTAACATTTATGCACAATCCATCTATGAATTTTGTTGCTAGTCAGCATGTATTTTTATTCGATTGAAATTATTGATTAAATAAGAACCTGACATAAGAGGACACAGAAATTACAATAACTTTTATAATACTAATAAGCCAAAATCTGGCTTTTTTTTTTTTTTTTTGCTCAAAGTAATTTCAGGGTTTTGATCTCTCAACTGAGAGAACACATCCTGTGTATTATATTATAATGAATATTTAATATTACATTTGAACTTTGACTATAGCCTAGACATGTTGCATATTAATTGTACTATTTATGAACCTCAAAGCATATGTTTGTGTATTTTGTGTTACTCCATAGTGATGTTCTATTTGAGGGCATTTGTAGTGTAGGTATAGGGCCCAAACTTAACCTCAAGCCCAGGGGCCCCCGCCCCCCCTAAGTCCTGCCCTGCCCAGAACGTATGATAAAGTGTCATGGGTAATTTATGAAGGGGGTTTTGTAAAGCATTGAGCAACACTTTGTACTGAGGATCTGTGTGGATGTTGAGCTTTATCGTTATTGTGCACAGATGCGTATTACACCACAGTACGAGGGGAACTGGAAGCCATCACACAAGATTTCGAGGTGGAGTCCTGGAATCTGGCTGTGGATCAGCACTTCTTAAAGAAACATTCGAAGGAAATTATCAAGAGACAGGATGTTATATATGGTTAGTGTTGTTTACCTACCCACACTGCACTGGGAACTTCAAGAAAGTGTTTTCCAGATCTTCTCTAAAGCTGTTCCTGTCTCCTCCAGAGCTCATCCAGACGGAGATACACCACGTGTGGACGCTCAAGATCATGCTCCGCGTTTACGCTCGAGACCTGCGGGAGGCACTACAGCTGGACGACAGGAGGCTGGACTGTCTGTTTCCCCGGCTGGACAGCCTGCTGGAGCTGCACAGCCACTTCCTGTCCCGCCTCCGGGAGCGTCGCGCAGAGTCCCTGCAGCCTGGCAGCGAATGCAACTATGTCATCCATAAACTCTCAGATATCCTTATATCCCAGGTGCGTGCCCTAAATTTAGTACCATACTTCCTGCTTCACATTTCCTGCCCTACATTTCCTGCTTCCTGTTGACACCTTTTTGCCCTATGCTTTCTGCTTCACATTTCGTATCTCTCAGTTTATGCTTTAAAAACATCCTTATTCAGTGTTTTCGCCAAAACACTTCCTGCTGTGTCATATTTCCTGCTTCACACTTCTCTACATTTCCTGATCTCACACTTTTTTTCCCCTAAAATTCCTGCTTCACATTTCCTGTCTTGCACTTTATGCTTCAGATTTCCTGTTTAACACATCCTACTTCAAACATCCTGTTGTCACATTTCTTGTTCTACACTCACATTTCCTGTCTTTTACTGTCATGCTGTTGTCATATTTCCTGGTTCATACCTCCTGCCCTGCATTTTCTATTTTGTTTCCTCCTTTGCACTTGCTGTTTTCACACTTCCTGCTTCACATTTCCTGTTTCGCTTCCTGTTTCAAACATCCTATTGTCACATTTCCTGGCCTACACTTCCAGCTTCAAACATCCTATTGTCACATTTCTTGTTCTACACTCACATTTCCTGTTTTTAACTGTCATGCTGTTGTCATATTTCCTGGCCCACACTTCCTGCTTCACATTTCCTGGCCCACACTTCCTGCTTCACATGGAAGGAAGTAAGAAGCAGGAAGTGTGACAACAGCGTGTATGAAGCAGGAAGTTATTTTGCTTGTTTTGTTTCAGTTTTCCGGAGAGCTTGGAGAGCGAATGAAGGAAAGTTATGGGGATTTCTGCAGTCGGCACACTGAAGCAGTCAACTACTACAAAGAGCAGCTGCAGAGCCACAAGAAGTTCCAGAACCTCATGAGAGTATGTTGAGATCTTAACAGTCTCAAAGTTGCTAACATTTCCTCAGCGTTGCTTTGAATCATTTTCTCCCCTTATTGTGTTTCAGAAAATCAGTAATCTGTCAATAGTGCGGCGGTTAGGCGTTCCAGAGTGTATCTTGCTGGTGACACAGCGAATCACCAAGTATCCTGTTCTTCTGGAGCGCATCCTGCACAACACAGAAGGTTGGTTGTTGCAGTCCAGTGAAACTATCCAGATATTATGGATGTGCAAGGTTCTAAACACTTTCTTCTCATTCCAGCCGGGACAGAGGAACATGAAGGATTAGCACAGGCTCTCAGTCTAATCAAAGATGCCATCGTTCAGGTGGACGCCCAGGTCAGTCTCTATGAGAAGGAAGCGCGGCTCAGGGATGTCGTCTCCAAGATGGAGCCCAAGTCGCTGGGGAAAATCAAAGACGGACGTGTTTTCCGGAAGGAGGACCTTTCTCAGGGCCGCCGCAAGCTCTTGTACGAGGGCATGGTCAACTGGAAAGCTGCATCTGGTCGACTCAAAGGTATTATGAGAACCACAATTTCCATGCAAAAGTACGGAGCCCATCAAGGGACAGGGTTTGTGTTCCCCCAAGTACTTAAAAGTATTTTCGCTTGCAGAACTTTTGCATTCCCCTGAAAAACTTTGCATTTGCTTGCAAAACTTTTGTGATGTAAATAATATGAAGAAAGAGGAAAAATTATACTTCGGTGCTTTTGTGAGTGAATGCAGAATTTCTTGGGAGCGCAAATGTTTTGCAAGCAAACACAACATTTCTTGGGAGAGAATGTAATGGCTTTGCAAAAGAACCCAAATGTTATGTGTGAACGCAACAATTTTAAGAGAACACATTGCTTCAATAGAGAGAACACAATAGTCTTAAGATAGAACGCAAGGTTTCTCAAGGGAAAGCAATACTTTTGCAAAAGAGCGCGAATGTTTTGTAAGAGAATGCAATTGTTTTAAGACAGAATGCAAAAAGGCATTGAAATATATTTTTTCTTGCCATCTCATTCATATATATATATATATATACACACACACACACACACACAGCGGGTACAGAAAGTATTCAGACCCCCTTAAATTTTTCACTCTTCCCCATGAGCTAAATTCGCTACAATTATGACTTAGTTTCTCATAATAATGACTTAGTTTCTCATTATTATGACTTACAGAATTATATATTTTTATTTAGTGGCGGAAACGGGCTTCCATATGTTTGACTCAAAGTTGAAATTTGGGATTCTTCCGTTGCAGATATTCTAGCTCTACTTCTTACTGATGTTCTCATCTTGTTGCAAGAAAAGGACCAGAGATTTGTGTTCTCGACTGTGGTGAGTACAAGCACTTTGTTTTCAGTTTACACAAGATGAGAAATTGTTCATCTGAATGCACTCATCCGTGTTTGTTTTCCGCTAGGACAACAAGCCTTCCGTTATTTCACTGCAGAAGTTGATTGTGCGTGAGGTGGCACACGAGGAGCGGGCCATGTTCCTCATCTGCGCCTCATCTAACGAACCTGAGATGTACGAAATCCACACAAGCTCAAAAGAAGACCGCAACACATGGATCACCCACATTCGTCAGGCCGTGGAGAGGTGTGTGTCTGTCTATAATCACATATGTGTCTGTATTTACTTCTGTCTGTATTTTTTTTTAAATTTTCCTCCTCGGTTTCTGTCCATCAGCTGTCCACATATCGAAGAGAGATTGTTTAGTGAGGAAGAAGAAGCCAGAGTCGCCCGGTTCCGAGAGTTTCAAGGTAAAACACCATAAGTGGCTTGTCTCTTTCGTAAGGACAATTTTGTTTTGTTTTTCTGCTAATTTTGATAATGTGTGGTGGTTTTTTGTTTAGTGAGCTTTGAAGGATCTTTTGTCACTAGAGGGCACACTTGCGTTTTCATACTGAAATCTTGTATCTTTTGTCAAAAATAAGTATTTTAAGCTCATATGCTTATAATATGTATTATACATATCATATATAGTTTAGTATATTACAATATTTATAATATTTAAAATTTATATTAATAATAATATAAATGTATTAATATAATATATAGTAATATTAAAAATATGTGTGTGTGTGTTTTTGTATAAATGTATAGTTATGTTTGTTAATTATAATTTAAAAAAAAAGTTTATTTTAGTGTCAGTAAAAAATTTTATTAAAGAAAGTTAGTTTTATTAAAATAGTTTTATTCCACAGGGACGCATTGAATTGATTAAAAGTGACCAAATTTGTTAAAATATAAAATATTTAACATATTTAATAAATGCTGTTATTTTGAACTTTTCATCAATGAATCCTGGAAAAAAAAAAAAAGTTTTCCACAAAAATATGGTTTCTTGCGTTATGTTGTGCTATGACATTTATAATGTTCTTCTGTTTAAAATAATTTAAATTCCATCAATGATTTTGTCTCTAACACATTTCCCTCCATCTGGGACTCATTTTCTGTAGATCGCCTGACGTTGAAGGATGCTCAGATCGTCCAGAGCCTCACGGAGAAGCTGCAGTTGTTTGCAGAGCTGGCTGAATCTGTGGCCGGTCTAGAGGACACCAGCTCTCGCTCCCGCCTGCTGCTGCGGGGCGACGCCTCGGACCTCCAGCAGGGGGAGCAGCTGCTCAAAGGAGCCATTACTGAAGGTAACACATCAGGCTGAGTTAGTTTTTGTGCCAAGCATTGGCATCATGATGTAATCTTGCACCTGCTAGTAAACTAGATTATTAGAGAACTAAATGTAGTTATTGAAGCGGATCTCTGTTTCTGTAGCGGAGAACCTGCAGAACCTCCTTGCATCTGGAGCTCGGGAAGCATCTCCACAGACTGAGGGGAACCAGAGTCCGTCCTTGAGTTTGCTGCCACGCAGAGCAGACACCTTTAGCGGCTACGATAGCATTCCTAGCAAACTGTCTACAAGTAAGAGTCAATACATGTGATTAGACACTGATTATACATGTTGCATTAATGGGGATTAGCTGGCAGGATTGTAACTTGAGACTCATTATCGTTACATAATTTCAAATCTTTTTATCCATATTCATTGCATTTTTAAAAGCCGTTCATCCCAATTCACATACTATTTGTACTATGCAGAAGGCAAGATGCATTTTTTTTTTTTTTAAGCTTAATTACACACAACCCTCCTGGCATGTGTTATAGAATATGGTTGGTTTGTGCAGGTCCACTATGTACCTCTCCAGTATAAGTTTGTAAATCAGGTGTGTTTGTATGTTAAATCAGACGGCAGTATTAAGAAGAAGGTTCCCGGAGCAGCCGGCAGGTCCAGGGACAGGAGTCAACGGGCCAGCTCTGATCCACAGCTCAAAGAGGTGTACACATGTCAGGACCGGGATGTGCGGGTGAGAGAACACTCATGCAGGCATTTGTCCCACAGATGATGGGAACATGCCTGTGTTTACTAAACGAGAGGAGTGGCATCAGATGGTCTGGGCAGGAAATTCACTTTTGTCAGTTTTAAACTGTCATACCAGTCACTGTCAAGCTATAGATCTGATAATTATATGATGATTATATTATAATATTTATTATATTATTGTAGTAAATATAGTAATTTATGTTTATAAAAATTATAGTTTAATACATAATCTAATTTTATAAATAAACTATCTAGCAATGTATATAATACCTACTAGTGAGATTAATTCTAAGGATATAATTTAAATACAGTAAAGAATTATTAATCAAGGAAATTAAAGTTCAGTAATAAAAATGTTACACTTTTTTTCTATAATGCTTGCTACAATAAAGTAATGCATTACTCAACTACCATGATAATGTCTTTGAATTGTCTTCGCTTGGGGGCTTTTCTTAGCAAACGTTGATATACATGATGTTATCCGATTGAAATGTTTTTAATAAATTTTAATCTGTCGTCTCTCTCAGGATGAGGCCTTCTCATCCGGCTTGCACAAAATGTGGTCCACCTGTAAATTTCCAGAATCAGAGGTAAGAGCGCACATCGGATTGGATTGGCGATTACGGCTCACTTTGTTTCCCATGAGATAAAAGGCACATATTATTTCTCACACCCCTCTCAATACATATTTTAGATGGTAACCTTTGCGTTCACCGCACCTAATCGGCTGTTAATGCAGCGATACTTCACTTGGCAGGAATGTGGCATTGTGTCTCGTCTCGTGAGAATAATGCCTCTGAATATTGAATCATCCTGCCAGTAATGTTGCCCTTGTCTTCCTGTTTTTCCAGTTCTATAAGCGAGTGCTGCTGCTGTCCCAGAGGCTGTACAGTTTACAGGTACAACAGAATGACCACACTCACGTCTCACTCATAACCTCAGCCACATGCATCCTGTAATCATGACAAGATCTGCTTTAGAGGAATCGGGGGTTCTCATGCTGTGCTCATTTGCTTGTTCAGGTGTTCACAACATCTGTCATTGTATTTAAACAACAACTACATTTCTTGTGTGCATTAGTCCATTCTCTTGTTTTCATTTGTTCTTTTGTTCATTCTTTTAATTTGTTCTGTTGCTCCTTCTGTTGTTCATTTGTTCTTGTTCTTTTTCATTTCATTTTGTTCTTTCATTTTATTTAAATTTTTTTGGTTGTTCTTTCTGTCAGTTTTGCTTTCTTTTGTGTCCATTTGCTCTTATTTTTTTTATTAAAATTTTTGCTTGTTCTGTTATTCATTCTCTTTTGTTTATGCCGTTTTCTTTAATTTTTGTTTCTCTTCTTGCTGTCGTATTTGTTCTTTTTCACTCTTGTTCTATTTTTTTCTTTTTCTGTTTGTTTCATTCTCTTTCATTTATGCTTTTTTTTTTTTCTTTCATTCGTTTTGTTAGTTCTTACTGTCTTATTCTTTGTTTGTTTATTATTTTGTCTTTTCAGTCTTGTATTTTTTTTTCTTTTGTTTTTTCTTTTTGTTTGTTTAATTCTCTTTAATTTTCTTTAGTTTTCTTTTGCATACCAGTCACTGTCAAGCTATAGATCTGATAATTATATGATGATTATATTATATGATTATATATTATAATATTTATTATATTATTGTAGTAAATATAGTAATTTATGTTTATAAAAATTATAGTTTAATACATAATCTAATTTTATAAATAAACTATCTAGCAATGTATATAATACCTACTAGTGAGATTAATTCTAAGGATATAATTTAAATACAGTAAAGAATTATTAATCAAGGAAATTAAAGTTCAGTAATAAAAATGTTACACTTTTTTTCTATAATGCTTGCTACAATAAAGTAATGCATTACTCAACTACCATGATAATGTCTTTGAATTGTCTTCGCTTGGGGGCTTTTCTTAGCAAACGTTGATATACATGATGTTATCCGATTGAAATGTTTTTAATAAATTTTAATCTGTCGTCTCTCTCAGGATGAGGCCTTCTCATCCGGCTTGCACAAAATGTGGTCCACCTGTAAATTTCCAGAATCAGAGGTAAGAGCGCACATCGGATTGGATTGGCGATTACGGCTCACTTTGTTTCCCATGAGATAAAAGGCACATATTATTTCTCACACCCCTCTCAATACATATTTTAGATGGTAACCTTTGCGTTCACCGCACCTAATCGGCTGTTAATGCAGCGATACTTCACTTGGCAGGAATGTGGCATTGTGTCTCGTCTCGTGAGAATAATGCCTCTGAATATTGAATCATCCTGCCAGTAATGTTGCCCTTGTCTTCCTGTTTTTCCAGTTCTATAAGCGAGTGCTGCTGCTGTCCCAGAGGCTGTACAGTTTACAGGTACAACAGAATGACCACACTCACGTCTCACTCATAACCTCAGCCACATGCATCCTGTAATCATGACAAGATCTGCTTTAGAGGAATCGGGGGTTCTCATGCTGTGCTCATTTGCTTGTTCAGGTGTTCACAACATCTGTCATTGTATTTAAACAACAACTACATTTCTTGTGTGCATTAGTCCATTCTCTTGTTTTCATTTGTTCTTTTGTTCATTCTTTTAATTTGTTCTGTTGCTCCTTCTGTTGTTCATTTGTTCTTGTTCTTTTTCATTTCATTTTGTTCTTTCATTTTATTTAAATTTTTTTGGTTGTTCTTTCTGTCAGTTTTGCTTTCTTTTGTGTCCATTTGCTCTTATTTTTTTTATTAAAATTTTTGCTTGTTCTGTTATTCATTCTCTTTTGTTTATGCCGTTTTCTTTAATTTTTGTTTCTCTTCTTGCTGTCGTATTTGTTCTTTTTCACTCTTGTTCTATTTTTTTCTTTTTCTGTTTGTTTCATTCTCTTTCATTTATGCTTTTTTTTTTTTCTTTCATTCGTTTTGTTAGTTCTTACTGTCTTATTCTTTGTTTGTTTATTATTTTGTCTTTTCAGTCTTGTATTTTTTTTTCTTTTGTTTTTTCTTTTTGTTTGTTTAATTCTCTTTAATTTTCTTTAGTTTTCTTTTGGTCGTTTTATTTGTTCCTTGTCTTTTGTTCTTTTTTTTCTTTCATTCTTTGTCATTCTTGTTTTATTTTTCTGTTAGATTTTCTTTCATTTCTTTCTTTCATTTGTTATTTTTATTTATTTGCCATTTTAGTTTTTGTTTACAATCTGTATATTTTTTTTTTTTTTACTTTTGCAAAAAAAAAATTCTCTCTTGTTGATTTTATCATTAGTTTGTTTTTATGACAGCCCATTCTTTCTTTTCATCTTTTGTTCATTATTTGTTTATTTTTCCTATCTTTTGTCCTTTCAGTTGTCCTTTAATTTGCTTTCTTTTGGTTTTGGTTTCATTTCTTTCTGTATTTAGTTTTTTTTTGTTTATTTATTTAATTCTCCCCCCCCCCCCCCCCTTTATTCTTTTGTTTGTTGTTTTGAGCTTTTGTGTTTTTTTTTGGTTTGTTTGTTTTTTGGCCTTTTTTGTTCATTTTTTCTGTTGTCCTTTCAGTTGCATTCTTGCTTGCTGCTTTGTTCTTTTATTTTGTTTACATTTCATGAAATTTACATTCTTACCAGACACTTTACCAAAGCACCTTACAATACCGTACACAAATCTTGTTTGAGCAAATACAAGAAGAAGCATCTGAAAGTACACAACACTTGCTAAACTAAGCCTTAGTTACCAGGAAGCTCTTAACAACTATCCAAACATCAAGTCCTTTCTGTCTCCTTCCCCCCTCAGGCCATAATCTCTCAGCAGGACAGCCACATTGAGCTCCAGCGGGCTTCTCTCCTCACCGCCGAGCGGGAACGTCCCGGCAGCCGGAACCGTGGCACAGACGTGCTCCTGGAGCAGGAAAAGCAGCGCAACTTGGAGAAGCACCGCGAGGAGCTCGCCAACTTCCAGAGGCTGCAGAGCCAGCATCGGCAGGAGCAGGCGCGCTGGGAACGGGAGCGGGAGAAGCAGCGGCGGCAGGCGGAGGCGGCTGAGCAGCGGCTGAAGGAGCGGGAGGAGGAGTGTCGGCGACTGGAGCTGCGTTTGGCCGAGGAGAGGCAGGAACTCGAGAGGCAAAGGCAGACGTACCAGCAAGACCTGGAGAGGCTGAGAGAGTCCACACGTGCTGTTGAGAAAGAGAGAGAGCGGTTAGAGCAACAGAGGAAGTTGAAGAAGCACAACACTGTGCCAAATACGGCAGCACTGTATGCACAGGAAGTTGGACAGGTGAGATGCCATATGATTCTAGACCGGTTTCCTTTTTTTTTACCTCGTCAGTATAATGTAACACTTACTATCTGTCTCCACATGAGTCGTGGTTCCCTTAGATGGCAGTACATGCTGAAACTACTAAACTATCTTATGTTCATTCAGACAAGTTAATAATAGGTCCAAATAGGGTTTTCATTTTCATTGCTCTCCAAAAAAGGTCACTTAAATCATAAAGCTTTTTTTTTTTTTTTTTTTTTTTAATCATAGTAAAAAATTTGGACCGTTTTGATTTTGAATTCTTAGTCTGGGGTTTATAATTTACAGGCTTAATATTTACAGTAATATATACAGTAATATTATGAAAAAAATAATTTAAAACAACTTATTTTTTTAAAATATATTTTAAATGTATAAAAATATATTTTATATTTTTGAATTTTTAGCATCATTACTCCAGTCTTCAGTGTCACATGATCCTTCAGAAATCATTTTAATATGCTGATTTACTGCTTAAGAAATGTTGCTATCAGTGTTTTAATACTGATAGCAACGTTTCTTGAGCAGTAAATCAGCATATTAAAATGATTTCTGAAGGACATTGCTTAATACGCTTAATATTTTTGTGGAAACCGTAATTTCTTTTCAGGGCTCTTTGATTAATAGAAAGTTAAAAAAAAAAAAGTTTACTTTCACTTTTGATCAATTAATGTGTCCTTGCTGAATAAAAAAAACTTTTACAACCTTTTAACAATATTCAATATATATCTTGATTTATGGTTTTACTCTGTAATGTCTTGTTTTTTTATAATCAGAAATTATATGTAATATCAATTCTAAAATAGAATATAAATTATGTATCAATATAAGAATGTGGTAATAAGTATTAATATTTATTTGCATTAATGTTTTTAATAGTACCGTCTGAATCAATTAATTGAAATGGACAGTTTGAACTGAATTTCAGAAATGAATTGAACTTTGCAACAATGAAGTTAGAAGTCGAACTCAACTCTGTCATGAATATTTGATACATCGCCCAGCTATTCAAGGAAATGGGAGCTGGCATACATGAAATTAGCATGATGTCACCTCTGTGCTCCTTTTTAGTGTCAAGTCACCTTTATATATATATATATAGTGCTTTTAACAATACAGATTGTGTCAAAGCAACTGAACAGCATAAATTAGGAAAATAGTGTCAATAATGCAAAATGACAATAGTAAACACAAATTTTTCAGTTAAAGACAGTTCATCATTGAATTCAGTGATGTCAACATCCAGCTCAGTTTAAATAATATCTTTGCAATCAAGTCAACGATATCGCTGGAAATGAAGTGTCCCCAACTAAGCAAGCCAGAGGCGACAGCGGCAAGGAACCAAAACTCCATCGGTGACAGAATGGAGAAAAAAACCTTGGGAGAAACCAGGCTCAGTCGGGGGGCCAGTTCTCCTCTGACCAGACGAACCAGCAGTACGGAAAAATCAATATAAGACGTAATAAAACAGACGATGAATAATATTAACAGCAATTATTATATGATGCAATCAAACTTATAGCAAAATGTGGTAGTTCTGTAAGTTGTTTCAGGGTTGGCATCATCTGAGGTCCTCTGAGGGGTTGCATCATCTCTTCTCAGGTGTTCTGGATCCAGACTGAAGCTTGTGTAAATCCTAGTTATCCCATGGCAAAAAAACTGAGAAACAAATACAAACATAGTTAGCGTAGCTGCTGTTCCAACCAAGCAAAAATGATTTGTTTAACATGTCATTAAAATTTCTAGGTGTAGGTGTGCCAGCTGAGAGCATCTGCCTTTCCCACACTCTCTTTTCAGCTCAGCTGTGCCAGTACAATCGAAGGGAACAATGTGGCACTGTGAGGTTACATAGCAGAGGCTTTGCTAATCTACCTGCTACCCTGCCCTACCTGTTTGCTGATGAGCCTGCTAAATTACCCAGCTAGCTCTCTGGGGGAAAAAGCACGGACAAGTGTTGTTTGAGCAGTCTTAACTGGCTCACAAAAAAAGCCAGTCTCTGTGTCCAACAGCATTTAACAAAAGCCACATATTGTGTGATTTCTAGCTCTCAGCAGTACTGAAACCATCCCAGAGATCACAACTAATGATGTAAATTTTCGATAATTTCCATGATCGATCGTAGTTTAAATTAACGATCGATTAATCGTTAACCTTAATGCTGCAAAATGCGTCTATTGCAGCGGCACGCAGTCAAAGGCATGACTGAGAGTGAGAGAGAGGCTTTTGCACATCCTCTCTCATTCTCTCTCTCTCTCACACACACACACACAAACCCGCTTTCTCACCCGAATTAAAGGAGTTTTAGTCTGAATAACATGCTAGTGGCCGGATTGTAAAATGAGTAAGTGTGATTAATATGATTATTTGATAAAATGAAGAGCGCTCGTTTGAGATCATTTCACTTTGTTGACTGTTTCATATCCCATCAAGGAGACCGCTGAACACGCCTCTTTAAATGGTTTAGTGGTGCTCGTCGTTGTATTTAAAAAAACCATTGCAATTTTTTCTACTGACATTATGGCATTTAAAATAATATTATCCCAAATGTAACTGTGGCGCGTGTGGCTGTGCTGCGCAGTCAGTGAACCACTTCCATCGGCGCTGCTGCAGCAAAACACACTGTTGCTCACATCAAACATTATTATGTGAGTATTATGACCAGTACTTAATTTGATCCTGCTGGATCCTGTTCCGGAAAATGTCAGATTTTGAATTGTTGCGTTCCAGTAGGCCTATTTGGTTTTTAAAAATCCGGCATTTACAGTGCATTAGATCGTGACAGTGCATGCTTGCATGCATACGAGACAGTGCGAGCGCAGGTTTGGCTAGATGTATTTGGAGGTTATTGCTCACTTTTCATTCGGCACAAATCCAAATGTTTCCATATTCGCAATGTATTTGAATGTTAAACTATTATTTATAATGTAAACTAGGCTTGTACTTTACACGCATTCGCCTATAGACGGAAAAGATCATCCTCTTCACATGAGCAGAAACGTCCTTAACAGCAGAGTGGACCGGTATACTATGGTCTATTTAAACTGACCAGTGTAGCCTTTTATATGTTTGGTTGACTTTTATTTTGATAATGAACAGACTGCGATGTAAATATGAATTGCTAGTGTAGTGATCTTGCAAGAACAAGGGGTGGGAATGAGAGGGTGATCGCGAGAGTTAAGAGAGCAATCATGTAGTCGAGAGTGTGTTAATAAAGTTGAGATATCAACTATACAGACTGGTTATTGAGACAAACAACACAACAGCTAGAATATGTGGTGTGTGTGTGTGTGTGCGTGCAAGGCGCCGGCGCGATCGAACAGCGAAAACATAACTTTTTGGAGTAAGATGTAATCCACAAAAGTGTTTACTTTTATTTTTGCACACTCACAATAAAAACAGAAGATTTGTGCTTTGTAAAATAAAGCAAACAAACAGAATGCGTGTTGTCATCCTGTCCTTTCCGTGAACTTGTTTATGGAACGCCACACTTCTGTTTTGAATCTGTTAGCTTAATTAAGTCAGATATATTTTGCTTTTTTTTTTAAATGTATTTATTTATTTTTATGAAAACAAAGTGTTATTTTTATTTTAGGCCTATTAATTACATAGGCTATAGGCTACATTTTCCTTAAAGCATCCCATGTTGTTTCAGGGCTTGAAAACCTTGTGCACTATAGTTAGGTCCATGCAGAACCTTGTGAACGTTGCTTATTGTGGCATCACGGTTTAGTGACACCATTGAATGCTCCGTGAAACCGTATTGTCCGTGTCGATCAGAGTGCCTGTTAATTGCTGTTTTGAATCCAGCAATAATTTATTTACCAATTATAAGCTCTGATTATGACAAGTGTGGTATAAAAGCTTTGTTTGTTAGAGGAATAATTGGTTAGCTGGAAAATGTTACATCGCGACCATGCTTTTGGATGTCGTTCAAGCCCATTTACGCGGCTTTGTTCTGGTTTGCCGGTTGGTCACGAATTTCCACAAATTCAATAATATTTAGGCATTGTTTCTTTTCCTAAATCCTCACCATCTAACCCTCTAATTTCGCAGGTTTATTTTATTGTCATTCACTTTTTATCACCGTTTTCGCATCTCTTACTGTGATAAACATGCGGCAAGATTTCATGGCAATGAATTAAGAATTTAAGGAACAAAATTAAACGTGGACAGTGGCCACAAATTAACAAGTTGTAGTAACGAATATCCTATCTGTCCTTTGTTCCGCAGCCCTGCAAAGCACACGATATGAAACAATTATCTGGGGAAATTAGATACAACATTTCTATTGCTTTCGATGTTGAAGAACTTTGTGTTGTTTCTATTTTAATGTACTTTTTAAAGTTTAAATCACATTAAAAGCTTAATTTGGACATTATGGATGAATGATGATGCATTTATATACCGTCACAGTCACTCACACGTGTTTTGCGCATGAGCCGCATGCAGCCCAAAATTAAATAGCTTAATCAACCATCGATAGCTTTAATCGATTGCATCTCTTATCGACAATTAATCGATCATCGATTAATCGTTGACATCCCTAATCACAACACACTAAAATCATGGTGAACAACCAGAAAATATAAATATGTACTTTGTATTTAGCATTTTTTGTTCGTTTGCACACAGTTTGTCTGGCTCCATCATCTGTTTTTCATCAAACTCTGATGTTTTCGTGCTTTCCTTCAATCACATTAAACTGATTTGAGCGCCATAGCCTGTCTGTCCGTTCACATGAACAAACTTGATGACTAACCCCTTTATTTTGACAGATTACTCAGAAAAGAACATCTAAGGAGCCGGACAAGGCGCCTTTTAGCTTCCGTTCAAACGTGCATGTGGAACTAACATAAATGGAGAACTTTCCTAATGGCCGTAATGCCGTGACGTTAGCGGTTTTAATAGGCAGTGACCAAACTAAATGCAATCTAGCCAGGATCAGTCAGCATCAGTGTCAGTCATTTTATAGTAGGAGGAATGTGCATTTAAAATGTATGGTTCAAAATCAAACAGCCACAGCCAGGTGTGTTTTCACTGCTGGGTTACATATGAACATGAATCGGCTCTTTAGTGGCAAAGCTTTTGATTTATTTCTACCATTTTTTTTTTTTTACCACATATTTGGGGGTTGTTTGACCTGGCCGAGACCTGTTCCTTTGTTACTGCTTTAGTCACTTCTGTTTGTTAAACCGTGGCTCATCTCTTAAGATAACGTTCCCCTCTCTCTCTCTCTCTCTCTCTCTCATATATATTCATATATGCTCAACTTTGACCTCTGGTTACAAAGAAGGCAACTTTTTATGGCCGCGTATACTTTGCTTTTGAAAGATTTATATATTCCACATTCCTGTTTCCAGGGAGTCTGTATTTGTGATGCTTCGTTGTGAGGTAAAAACACCCAAAACAACCCTTCAGAAACAGGTATTTAGCACCATGATTTAAGAGCCACGTTTCCAGCAGCGAGCCCTTCCAACTAGCCCGTGCACAGCAGAGTTTCTCCAAATGAAAAGTTGCTTGAAGTATCCAGGGAAGTCTTGAGTTGGGAAAACCGCAACGTATAATTACCTGCCAGCACCCTTTCATTAATACCAGCGCTGGAATTCGGCCAATCTTAATTGTTTATGTGATGTCAGTCAAGTCTTTGTGCCGAAAACCTTGCACACCCCTTGCATTTTTAACGCTCTGGAAACCTTATATTTACTGAAAGCACCTTAAGGACTGGAAACAATCGAGCATCTATGCTGGGATCCCAGCGTTTTGGAAAACTACTCATGCTACGCAAAGGCCATGCTGTGTGATGGTTCAAGATGATGTCGCCCCGGGCCAGTTGGAGAAGTTTAGCCTTTTCTAACCGCTAGATCAGTGTTTCCCAACCCTGTTCCTGGAGAGACACACCAGCACCACACATTTTGGATGTCTTCCTTATCTGACCCATCCATTTAAGTCTTTGAGTCTCTACTAATGAGCTGATGAGTTGATTTGGGAAGCGTTTGAAAATATGTAGAAGAAACAAGGTGGTGCAATTATGATTTGCAGAAGCATAGTGAACGGAGTGAGGCACTTGTTTCCATTACACCTGCTTTGAGGTTTGGAAGAGTTTGAAAATGTGTAGTGTTGAGGTGCCTCCAGGATCAGGGTTGGGAAACTGCTCTATATCAGTGTATATGTAAGCTCTATATCAGTGTTTTCCAGCCATGTTCCTGAAGCCCATTTTCTTTTATATTATTCCCTTTTACAAAGTCTTGAATTGGTTTTATTAATAGATTTTCATGCTTGATTGTTCTAAAAAACACATTATTTTTTACATATTTTACATTATTGCAGCAGTCTGTTTTGAACAACCTGTTTAGTTCTTGTTTCCGAAATATGAAATGTGCTCTGATTGGTTAGCTGGCCCGGTGTGTTGTGATTGGCGAACCGCTTGGTGCTTGCTGCGGAAATGACACACCCCTTACCGCAACTGCAAGTTTCATCTGCTCACCCTGCAAAGGTTTACAAACACGAGGATTGTGCAGAACCTTTGCAAGCACAAATAAAGGGGATTTGGAACCAGGTGGAAGAAACGGCGTCTCTTTTTTTCATGGCTACAGCACGCTACTAAAGCCGCTCTTATTCGTCTTCTCTAGTGCTGCTCAACCAGGCCTCGCCCCTTTTTTGCTTATTCTGTGGGTGGGGATTATTTAAATGAGTGATATTGTGACTTCACATTATCCAGAAGAAGCATGCTGTAATCCGAACGGGCCGTTTGTTGTAATTCCTGAAAGGTTTTCTATTAAAGAGAATATATCCTTTCAGAGTGGACTTTGAGCTTTGTAACCTTGCAGATTTTTTTTATGCTCAAACAGCAACATTACACACTAACTAAAGTTGAAAAAGTGAAACAGCATAATAGGACCGCTTTAAGGAGACATGCAAAATGCAGCGTTGGGTGGGTTTCAGAAATGTGGTTGAGAACCACTGCTCTAGATGATTGAGGATCCCAGAGGAACGCCTCCCAATGTTTGGATGTTCTCCTTAACATTTTTTGTGAAATGATGGAAATATGAGGGTGTAATTGTGACTTGCAGAAGCATAATGTACAGATTCAGGAGGGTGGCTCTAGTTTCAATTACGTCTTTGAGGCGTGGAGAAGATTGGCCATTTTCACACTTTTAAGTACTGTAGATGTGATGGACAGTTATATGATTATTCAATCTTTTCCGTGAAATAAGGGTGTTGGTAACTTCACGATTAATTATCTGAACTCCTTGCGTACATTTTCAAGGTTCGCTTCTAGGTGCATCCCAAAAATTACATAATCACCGTTGGGCCCTTGAGCAAGACTTGCTTGCACCAGGTGGACTATCCCTCCAAAGAGTGTACACTATGTCCTTTGGAGGAAAAGGATTGGAAGGGAGGCCACTCACGAACTGTTAGCCGCTGATATGCATTAATAATTTTTACCTCATGTTTAACGTAGTCCTTTCATGTGGTACTGTCTTCAGTGTGTGTTACATTTTATGCCTGTGTTGACAAAGTGTGTTTAAGAGCGCATCAAACGTCTTTGTTCTGCATGCAAAGTAGCATATGTTTTAAATTTAGCTTCGTCCTGTAAATCCAAAACTCTTCAACAGACTGTATTTCCTACACCGCGCATTAGCTTGGCATTTCCTGCGTGTCATGCTCAAATATGAAAGCTGATCTGAGTTGAAACACATTTAATTTAAATGCAGGCGGTACATCTCAACAAACCTTTTGGCCCAAAATATGTAATTTATGCTTGCTTTATTTAGTAGATGCATTCATCCAAAGTAATTTACAAGTAATGAATAACAGTTGAAGACAAGTGATTTATTGCAACAATATTGTCTGTTGTTTGAGGTTCTGCAGTTGGTACTATTTGTATGGTCATATGTTGCTAAAAAGAACATTATGTTGTGTATTTGGTGTAATGAAATGTTTATGCGGTTTAAGGTTAAAAAAAACATTATTTTCCACATACTGTACATTATTGTTTGTCCTTTACGACCCGCCTTTCTGAAACGCGTCGATTTTTACAAAGCTCATCGGTCTGAAAAGCGAGGTGTGCTCTGATTGGCCAGCTATCCAGTGCGTTGTGATTGGCCGAATACCTCAAGCGTGTGACGGAAATGTTACGCCCCTCACCATACTGTGATGCCCTGTGCGGCCGGAGCAATGAGACAAAAACATTAAAACCCATTTGTTGCATCCAGTGGGGACATAATTATGGATTATAATGACTTTACGCGTTGCATCGCGCCAAACTTTTATAAAGAATATCACTTTGGATTTGAGACTTTAGTCTTTGCAACTTTACAGATCTTCTTTATGCACCAAGAGCTTGTAACACTTCAAAAGAAAAAAAATTTGAAATCGCATCATATGACCCCTTTAAAGTGCCCTTATTATGCCATTTTTTTTAGATGTCTAATATTGTTTTGGGAGTCTCCTACAATAGGTTTACATGCGTGAAAGGTCAAATGATGCTTCCGTTTTCTTAAAATATGCATTTAATATCACCTAATTTTCCAGCAATTCTCAAACGATTCATTCGAAGCAGTTGTAACATTCAGTATCTAAACCCCTCCTTTCCATGAGCCTACTCTGCTCTGATTGGTCAGATGGACCGGATATGTTATTGTGTATATTCTTACATTCAAATTCAATTTCTTTGTATGTAAAAGCATTGCGTGAATTGTTGCATTTATTAAGTTTTTCATGAATCTGCTATTGTGTGTATTGTCACATTCAACTCAGTCATTCGCAAACCAGTTCGACTTAATTCTTCGTAAATATGTTCTTGTAAATTATTGCATTCAGTTGTTCGTAAATCCATTTTTGCATAAATTGTTGCATTTATTTGAGTTTTTCGTAAATCTACTGTGTATATTGTTGCGGTCAACTCAATTGTTCATAAATCCACTGTTGTGTTACTTGAGAATTTATACAAATTAGTCCTGGTAGTATTTCATTAATGATTGGATGGAGACATCATGATGTTTCCTTAATGTACACTTGTAATCTGCTGTGGTGATGCCTTCTTTCATCCTCACGATGAAGTAAGATGTTAATCAACCTCTGTGCGTGAAATTGCTTATCCATCTGTGGTGCTAACATTAGCATTTCGCTTTGTTTAAGCTTTCCAGTTCCTCCAGCTTCAACGGTGAGCTGCCGCTCGGTGGAGCATGGGATCAGACGCTTCCTCTAAAGTCACACCTGCGGGTCTCTCTCTCAGTGTCCCCCGCCGACTACCTGGAGCGTCCCGAAGTCCACTCGCGACGCGAGAGCTCCTGCAGCACCCTGCTGGCCAAGACGGAGGTTCCCATCCATCTCATCAGCACCACCAACCAGCTACACAAGCAGGGCAGCGTCCAGCAGCAGATACCAACCAAACTCGCCGCCCTCAGCAAGGGCAAGGAGAAGAGCGGGAAGGGCAAGAGTTCGCACCGCACCGACAGTTCTGGTTAGTACTGCTCCGTTTGCGGCCACCAAATTCCATTCTTTGGGAGCGAATTTGCAGATTCCTAAATCCATCTTCGCTCTTTCCTAGCTTCTGGTGACATGAAGCAGATGCTGCCCATCAAGCTGTCATCAAGGGATTCGGACGGAGGTCACAAAGCACGCCGGCCCATCAGCCCCCACCAACCTCAACATTCAGGTAAGACAAACAACCACACCTGACATTCCCGGCCGAGCCTGAACGAGCAGTATCCCGCTGTGTAAACAGTCATAAGGCCCAGCTGACAGGCATGTTGTTTGGTTTGCTCGCCTTGCAGATTCCCTCAACCCTCCAGATGCTCATACGGATGCCCAGTCTAGCCTCGCGCCCGCTGTTCTCAAAACCCATAACCAGACCTCCCAGACCGCCCTCCCGTACACTGGTAGCGGCCAAGCTGCCAAGGAGGACGTTATCTATTTCTGAGGCATCTGATGGGTGCAAAGACATTGCGTTGGCGTTTTGGACAATATTTTACTAAAGGAACATATTTTAATCTTCCTAGTCTTAGAAACTAACACGTTTTATTGAAGCCTGTAAATTACAACAAAGAAAAAAATGTGTTTTAGTTTGTATGAAAAAAATAAAAAAAGGCTCACTGTTTGTCCAGAAAACCCAAAGACTTTGACGGACAGCTTCACGTGAAGGACCGTTCTGTAGCATGCGCTCCAAATGGACCATATGAAGGGCAAATGGATGTTGCTTATTGTTGTGGTGAGCAATTTTGCACAGCGTCAACGTCCCATTTAATTTCAAACACAGTATTTGGGATGACTGTTTTCTGTTGGATTTGTTCGGTTTCATTTGCGGTCACTCTGGAACATTATTGCTTATGGAAAATGACATATGTTGACATTTTGAAGTTTTAGTCAGTTTGTTCTCACTGGTTTATTCAGTCATTTTTGACTGTACACTGTATAAACTTGGCTGGATTTCAACTTTCAACCTAAAAGATTATTTGATTTCAGAAAAGCCAACTCCATTTAAGTGGTCATTTCATTCAAGTGGTGCATCTTTTTAGAGATTTCCTCCAGATGTTCACAAAAAAAGCAGTGGATGTGAAGAGAATTCAAGATTTTTTCTGTTTTTAATTTATATGTTAATAGATCTTTCAAATGGAGAGAACAGTTATCTCGGTATTTTGAGATTACTCAAATAAAAATCAAATGAAGGATACAAATGTTTTAGACAGTAAATGTTTTCTCCTTTCCAAATGATCAAAAAGTCAATTTAGGACTTGACTGAAATACACCTGAAACGCATGACAGCTCTCAATGGCCAGGTCATTAATTACCCTGAAAAATCAAAAGGAAAAAAATCAATACCGTAATGCAGAACCAATGTCATTACCGTGATGCAAAGAAAATTGTTTAAATTGTTTTGAAATTATTTAAATAAAACAAAATTATAAGTATACATCATAGTAGTGTTTTTGCTTTAGTGTTTTTAATGTATTAAACATTTTTTACTGAACAAATAGATTCTTGTTACTGTATTACAGATTTTTTTGCATTACGGTATTGAGGACTTTTGGGGGAAAAATGTTTAATTGAATTAAATCATACCAAAATAGGTTTTGCGTTTTTGCATTTCCTCCCTTTATGACCCACATTAATTTCATTCCACATCTAATTGAAGTCTCTAAAGTTGTCAAGCATTTTTTCTGTTCTGAAGCTGACCACACAAACAGCATGTGTGATGTAATACTCTGGATTTCAGAGTAATGCCACCAGACTTGGATTTAAACCATTCCGTTTCTATATCGAGCCCATGAGCTGTGAGTATGAAGCCATTGACTGATCGCTGTCGTTCGTTTCCTGCGACCATATGACTTGTATGTATATGTTGTACATAGAGTTTCCTTCTAACATAGACGAGATGTAGATATTATGCCAGGATGTCATGTGACCACTGAAATTACAGATGATCAATTTGGGTATAGTTTTCTTCATTTCGTTTTGTAGGCACTTTTTTTTTTTTCTTGAAAAAACGAATCTGTCTTGAGTTATTATTTTAGTAAAAAAAAAAATAAAAAGCATTGCTTTTGGATAACATTTCACCTGTTCCACTTGACAGAAGTAGTATTTTTGGCATTTATAAAAACAGCTTGATATGATATTCATCCAATATTTTGTGTTTCTAGGTCGAATGCTTTCCCAGTGAAGGGATATTTTCACGTTGTAGCAGATCGGTTTTGACTGTCAGTGATGCATAAATAAATGCCACGTGATGTTGATGTAATAATGAAGTTAGTGACTAAATGCTGTTTGTCTCACTCCTTTAGCTGCAGCGCACTTTACCCCAGAAAGAATTGTTTTCTTGTATTTGTTCAACTGTGAGCTTAAAAAAACATGTTGCTTTAAATTGTCACTTGATCAGGCCGGCATTCATTGTGACTGTAGCTTGTTGGCGTCTGTGATTGTATGACATATTTTATACATATGTTATTCCTTTGCGAAGAGGATGTCTTGTCAGATATTGTCAAATAATTTCTTTAAAAAAAAAATTCTGTTTCCAGTTACACTAGCCACTTTTCAATACCAGCAAACTTTAAGGGGACCTCAAGTGTTAATATTTCTGATGTTCTGTGTCTTACATTTTTAGCACGCAAGGCCAGTGTGAATTTTTTTTTTTTTTCTACCACAGCATTGTACTCGCTCTACCGATCAAAAATAGAAATACTTGTGAACACTTAAAACTGCTGCCTTTAGAGACATTTTTAGTAATAAAATAAGTGGGAAAAAAATCTGATTCGGAGTCTGTTTTTTTTTGTTTCCGCTATGGAATAAAAAATAAAAAAGGTAATTGCAACTTATTTTTATATATACATATATATATATATATATATATAAAATGACTTCTCAGAATGTATATCTCGCAATTGCGATTTAGCATCTCAATTCTGATATTTGTTTTGTTTTTTCTATCATGTGGGGGAAAAAATCTGATTTTGACTCTTTACTCTTATTCAAACCTCATTGTGTCAATGTATGAAAAAAAAACTTTTGAAGAGCACACTTCGTAGAATACTGTATCCCACGATGCAATGCGCCCAACCTGACCTTCCATTTGCTCTGCGACGAATGAAGAGTAAGTAATCAAGTGCAATGTCTAATGTCTTTTTTGACTCATCATTTGCAAAAACGTACAATATTTTTACGCTAAATTTAATTTTAAAAGCAATCTAACAGTTTCATGTGCAAAATAATTTGGAGGCCACTCGATTAAACATGTTAAGGTCATGTGACAAATATGTGGAAAACTGCTGTTGGATATGTTTATTAATGCAAAATGTACAATCTTACCATATTTTCAAGAATACAAGTTACTTTTTTATCATCTGAAATGAGCTGCAACTAACTAGTATAATGGAATTAACATCCACGAAACATGCATTTGGCCCAAGTTTATTTGTAGTTTCAGTTTAGATTTAGATTCATTTATGATTGACGCTTGTAATATTTTTTTGTTTATAATGACTTTTACAATTTACGTTTATTCCATACTTATTTTTTGGTTCCTGGTCTGTTTGAATAGTCAAATTTAAAGGATTTGTTGTGGAGTGCGGGGGACTAAATCACATTTATAGTGTTTATAACGTTTTAACGTTTCATTTTATTTACCGGTATTTGGCATTATTTTTATATTACAATTAGGGATGCACCGATATGAAAATTTTGTCCGATACCGATAACCGATTCTTCTTTATTTTTGAAAGCCGATAACCGATATGTTGGCCGATAAATCTATATCCAAATTGTTATATACTTTTTGAGAGCCTGATTACAAAAACATTATTGTAATAAAATGTGACTTACAAACTGATGTGACTTGTTTTTATTCTCTTCTCTCCCTCTCTCTCAACAATGCAATTTTGACCAGTGCAACTTCCAGAAAAAGCGGTAAGTATATCTTTTTTTTTTTTTTAATAATAATACTTCTTATTTTGCAATGCAGATGTAAGCTTTTTCTTCAAATACAGTAAACTGTGAAACTATTTGCGCTACAGACCAGTGTGTTTATAATTGAGACAATTTATTAATGTACTATTTTGCAATATCAAGTAGTATAAGGAGCAATTTTGTACCGCTATTAATGGCTAGAAGCGGATGACACCGGAAGTCTTGCACATACAAGGTATAAAATGGCCGCTCTTACCTTAAAAATAAGGCGGATACAGTAGTATATACTGCGTAGTACGCAACTATTCCGTTCCGAACACAGCCTATACCTTACGATTGAAGTTGACCACAGAGGAAACTGAAAAGCATGTGAAACATTGTAGTGATGATCAGTGCTTATGTTATTCCAGGTCCTCTCCGGGACGGTCTCTTCAGACAATATGATTTTATTTCCGTCTCTCTTTGCTCGTGTCGTCTGTTGATTCTGGCCTGTTTCTCACAGGAAAAGAGACAGAGCCCAACTTAACAGGACCCTGGTGTCTGTCTCTCAGGCCATGCTAATTGTAGTGCTGTGGCGGAACACGGCTATTTTCAGGTGTTGTGGTTTTCCTTCTATCCAATCCGGATCTGACAGCCGCGTGTCCAGTAATTCTTTACCAGATGATGTCTCTTGCTTTTGTCTTTGGTAATGGTTTTCTGTCTTCCGTCTGTGTCTTGTGCTTGGCTAATTTTAGACGCTGTGCTACGAGACGACCTCTGTCTGGTTCACAAGTGTCTGTAGTCACGTCACGTTGTTAATTGTAGTTATTTTGTGCAAAGACCTCTCTCTGCAAACTAAAACAAACCTCATGCTGCTGGCTAGACGTTTTAGCTGCAAAAGTAGCCAGAATTTCATTTTAGAATACCATTATGCAACAAAACTTTGAATATGTATCTTTATTTGTCGTTTGAACAACCGGTAATAAGGTCTCACAAACTTTTTGTCTTTTTCTTGTCTCGCAAACTTACCACATGGCAGTTGTTGTATGCAGTTCCCACCTCTTTTTGAATCAAATTTAACCAAAAAACAACTCTAGTATTCAGTGAGGGAATCTGATTCAAACTGCTAACTCACAAACAAAGCTTGAGGCTGTTTAGTGAATCTTTTTGATTGACTCCTCAAAAAGAACTGATTAATAAGAGTCTTATGTTCCCTAATTTGACATCTTGCTCGCACAGTATTTGCTGTAGCATGCAGGAAACGCTCGTGCGAGATGATATCGGATGCAAGTATGGAAGCCCAATTCTGCCACAGAATACAAAAATTAGAAAGGTCAATCTTTTTCTTGCAATTCTGAGAATAAAACTAGATATAAACTTGCAATTCTGACTTTCTCATAAATCTGAGTTTATTTCTCGCAATTCAGTTTTTTATATATTTTTTTTCTCTCCGAATTTTGAGTTCACATCTCATGATTCTGTATTTTGGTTTCCGCCATGGAATAAAAGAAAAAAAAAAAGTAATTGCACCTATATATATATATATATATATATAACTTTCCGTACCCACTGTGTATGTATGTATATATATGTATACACACACACACTGTATTGCAAAAAAAGTCAAAATTGTGAGATTAAAAAGTTGCAATTACCATTTTATTTTATTTTATTCCGTGGCAGAAACAGGCTTCCATACTAAAGCACGTATGGCTGTACACAAATATTTCTGGCTGCATATATAAATTAAGTTATTGTTGCAGTTTTTTATTTATTTGAATAATTTGCAAGCGGTTTAGTCAGCTAATATGGAGCTCTGCTTTTGACTAGAATTCTAGCAGCGTTTATTTTCCCTTTAATAACGTAAGAACTTCCTGCAATCTGCCTGCATTATTCTCAGTGTTGACAGTGTCTAAAATATCCCTCTCTCTGTTACATAACAGCTCTGCAAAGTCTGCACCGGCAATAATGTTCCATGCTGGCCATATAACTGTCCTGACCCATAAAAATAAATGTGTTTTTTTTTTTCTGTGTCCATGGAAACAACTTTAATTACTTTCTTTATTGCTTTTCGGTAATACTTTGTAGTGTTTAAAGAACACCTGTTGTAAAGTGACCGATATGAATGTAGAATGGTGATGAATGAAGTTATTGTTCTTTGTTTATCATCATGAAAAGCGAAATATGGCTGAGAAGATAAGGTTACTGCTGGCTGATAGTATGTTATTCATAAGTTTGTAGAGGTGTAATCCAATAAAGTGGCCTGGGAAGAATCTGCTGTTATAGTAAAATCTTTGTGTGTGTGTGGATGGCAATCTGTGATTTTAAAAAATGCTCGTCTTCTGTAGTTCTTGTGGCAAATAGCTGTTGAAAAAATAAGTCCAAGATTCTTGCAAAGCTGAATGATCTATAAATGTCAATGGTCTGTGTGACTGAATGCTGCTGGCTGTTTATTTGTCTTCCAACCTGTTTGGTTTCATGGGAGGATTTTTACTGCTGCTTAGTTTGATAATTGGTCAATCTTGTCAGTTATTAGTTTTGATTAATCGGGTAAAGGTGCACAATGTTATTTCCAGTATTTTATTGAAGTATATATTATTCCACAGTTTGTCAAGGCAATTAAAATAGTAAATGTGCTCTATTTATTGAGCCTTGTTCATGAAGTATAACATTTGTGTGTAAAAGTTTGTAAACTGTTGATAAAACAACTGTTGCGTAAATTGGTGCTATTGTGTATAATTTACATATTTCGTAAAAACATTCTTCCATAAATTGTCGGCATAAGAAAAAAAGCATTTGGGGAATCGGTTCATAACATAGATGAGCAATTAATTTCTTTGTAAATTGTTCGTAAAAACCGATCATTACCAACAATTTACGTAAGAGTTTTCACAATTTGCAAAGAAATTTGTTGATTTTGTTTTTCATGTATGAGGCATATGTGCTTAAAATACTAAAAATATAAATGTTACAATATAGGAGCACAGACCTGAAGGAAAGATAACAATATTAATTCATTTTCTTTAGCGGTTTGAAAATGGTTGCTGCAGCAACTATTTTCAAACCAAAACTGAAAGCAGCTTGTGCTTTCAAAAAAAAAATTATAATATATGAGATGGGAGGGAAAAAATATTTTGATGCTTTTGTATTTTTTGCGTTCACTCACAAAAGTGTTGCATTCCCCTGAAAAACATTGTTGTCGCTCACAAAACATTTACATTTTTTCGCAAAACTGTTGCGTTCCCTTAAAGGGATACTCCACCCCAAAATGAAAATTTTGTCATTTAATCACTTCAACCCCCATGTCGTTCCAAACCCGTAAAAGCTTTGTTCGTCTTCGGAACACAATTTAAGATATTTTGGATGAAAACCGGGAGGCTTGTGACTGTCCTATTGACTGCCAAGTAAATTACACTGTCAAGGTCCAGAAAAGTATGAAAGACATCGTCAGAATAGTCCATCTGCCATCAGTGGTTCAACCGAACGCAAGCAGCGTATGCTCTTCTGTGTCAGCCACGCTGCACGGATGTGCTATTTTCGTTCAAATCAAAGCGTAAATACACGTAGAAAACGTATCCTTGTATCGCGGCTGACACAGAATAGCGTACGCTGCTTGCGTTCAGCGGATATTCTCCAAAATGACACTACAGTGATGCGGAGAGACACAGAGGAGACAAATTGTTGAATAAAGTTGTTATTTTTGTTTTCTTCGCATACAAAAAGTATTCCCGTCGCTTCATAACATTACGGTTGAACCACTGATGGCAGATGGACTATTCTGACGATGTCTTTCATACTTTTCTGGACCTTGACATTGTATTTTTCTTGGCAGTCAATCGGACCGTCACAAGCC